CTGCCACCCACCCCCCGCCCCCACCGAGACGCGCACCCCACAATTCTACCGTGACTTTGGGACAACAGCCCTGAAGCAGCTGTCTTGGGAACATCATGTCCCCTTTAGGGTCACTGCCTGATCAACCTCCTTTGCCTTTCTAACTTTTTGACCTTAAAATTTTCAAAAGGTTACAACAGCAACCAAAAGTATTGCTTCATCAAAAGCAAGACTATTAATTCAAAGAGCAGGCTAAGATTAAAAATGGTACTACAGAATATTTAATCATGGGAAAATACGCATTACAAATGAACAAGTAGTTACAAATATGAAGACGCCCTGGCCAGTGTGGCTCAGTTGGTTAGAGCATCATTCTGTGCACTGAAGGGTCTCAGGTTCTATTCCCGGTCAGGGCACATGCCCAGGTTGCAGGTTTGACACATGGTTGGGGCACATACAGGAGGTAACCGATCGATGTTTCTCTCTCACATCGATGTTTCTCTCTCTCTCACTCTCTCTCCCCCTCTCCCTCTGGAATCATTGAAAAACATATCCTCAAGTGAGGATTTAAAAAACATATATATATATATTGCCCGGCCAGGCGTGGCTCAGTGGTTGAGGGTCGACCTAGAATCCAGGCAATCAGGGTTCGATTCCCGGTCAGGGCACATGCCCAGGTTGCGGGCTCGATCAATGACTCTCTCATCGTTGATGTTTCTATCTCCCTCTCTCCCTCTCCTTTCCTCTCTCTACAATAAATAAAGATATATTTTTAAAAATAAAATAAAATAATAAAAATAAAAAACATATATATGAAGAGTACTCAATAAAAAATAAGAAAAAACCTACATGTTTTTATTAACCAATGTAACCCCCAAGTCAATAAAAATATTTAAAAATATGAAGAGTACCTTAAAAAATAATGTATAGTTTAAAAATATTTAGATGTGTAAATAAATGCATAGACACCAAAAACATAATGGACAGATGCTAATGGACAGATGCTAATGGTGATTTAAAATTTTCTTTTCTACTTATTTGTGTTTTCCAAATTTTCTACACTGAGTGTTATTTTTATCATATATTAAAACAAGAGTTATTATAACTGTAAAGATGGTCAGCACAATGCTTGGGGCCTAAAGACATAATGAAAAGGCAAGTCTATCTCCTGTATCCCAGTGTGTGAAGAGGGTCACTTCCCAGTCACCTCCATGACCAGTGGAGGCATCAGCACAAGAGGCAGGGAGGCGCGCCGCCCATCAGGACACAGGAGGAGGTACCTGGATTTTTTGTTTTGTTTTGTCTTTTAAGTTTCTTTATTGTTGAAATTATTACAGATGTCCCCTTTTTATCCCCACTGAATTGATCCCCTCCACCCCGCATCCAGCCCACCCCCAGGCTTTCCCCATACCAATGTCTGTGTCCATAGGTTATACTTATCAGCATATAAGTAGTTACCTGGATTGTGATGGTGCCTTTCTCAGTGTCCGTCTGCAAATGAATCTCCATTTCTGGCAGCGTTTGGCCTTCAGACACCAGCTTGTGACGCAGTTTTTCCAAGGCATCGCTAGCATTGGAGATCAGCTCCCGTATAAACACCTACAGGAATGAAAATAAGATGCTAACACTGCAGGATCTATTTGGTTAGCAGGATTTGCAGCAACTGCTAAAAGGCAGGGGAGAACTGCCACAGAACATTCAGTTTTTAACCATAAAGACTTTCCACTTTACTCAGAGGCAGTTTCTCCAAGGCAGGTCACAAAATGGTTCAAGGCAATTATTTCTCCTTAAGACAGCTTTATACAGTAACCTCTACCTCTACTGTTCCTTCCTGAAAATCAAGCCTAAAGTTAGGTGTCAACCTGTTAACTAAAAATTTAAAAAGAACCCTCTGAGAAGCCCCTTCTTTCCCATCTCTTGCCCAGGCATGACAAAATATTTCCCAAACATCTCTTTCTCCTACTCACTGAAGAAAGACTCTCCGCCTTCATTTAATGTGGGATCATCAAAAACCAGACCTACCATGTTCAGGACAAAAAAGGGTAACAGGGCCCAGCCGGCAAGGCTGAGCAATTGAGCATCGACCTATGATCCAGGAGATCGCAGTTCGTTTCCTGGCCAGGGCACATGCCCAGGTCATGGGCTCAATCCCCAGCAGGGCACGTGCAAGAAGTAGCTGGTTAATGACTCTCTCATCACTGATGTTTTTATCTCTCTCTTTCCCTCTCCCTTCTTCTCTTTGAGATCAATAAAATTAAAAAAAAAAAAAAAGCCACAGACCCACTTACCCACCAGCATCTAAAAAGTACCTTTACCTCAAACAGACCTTCCACTTACAGTGAGACCAGCACACACGAGATGGGAGGGAGTGGGCTGATCTGACCCCCAAGACAACAGAAGCTGGACATAACAAAGATACATGAATATAATATTTAACAGCACAAGACCTGGAAATATTTCCTGAAAAGTCCCTTTTAACTTTGGGGTTTGGTGATTCACCTAACTTCTTCAAAATTCTTCTTTGCAATGTAGTCATGAGCAGGGAAACGACGACTGCCTGTTTGCTCTCTGACCTTCTCATCACCTGTCAGCCCTAGATGAGCTTAAACCCCTCAAAGAGGCCCTCATGGCCCTCCCTGCTCCACTGCACCGGGGCTCTCCAGCCCACCCCCCTCTAGACTGGGGGCACCAGCTGACAAGAGAAGGGCTTTGAAATCATCGGCAAAATTAATTAATTTCCAGAGTCAATCTGACCCAAAGAACCATCTGGATATATTTACCCAAAGAGACTTTGGTAAAAATATTCTTGCTGGCCCTGGCCAGTGTCACTCAGTGGTTAGAGCTTGGCCCGCACACCAAAAAGTCCTGGGTTTGATTCCCAGTCAAGGGCACGTACCTGGGTTGCAGGTTCCATCCCTGGCCCTGGTAGGGGCACCTGTGGGAGGCAACCAATCGATGCATTTCTCTCACATCAATGTTTCTCTCTCTCTGTCTCTCTCCCCTCCTCCCTCCCTCTTTCCCTCTCTAAAAATGCAATGGAAAAAATACCCTCTGGTGAGGATTAACAAAGAAACAAAAACAAACAAACAAACCCCTCTTGCTGGTAGCTAAGATCAAGACCTGTCCAAATTTAAGGCATTCTTATAGTTAATGTACTATGTGGCATTTCCCCAGGATAGTATAAAAATAGTTTTGCCAAAAGAAACTTTGCGAGTGCTAGGAGTGATTGACAGGTACTGTACCTCTTTTTCTGAGTACAAGGAGCGGGCAACAATGTCCAGAAGCTTCTTTGTCTCAGCCTGGAACTCATGTTTGGAAACGGAACCTGGTAATGAACCACAGACACAACCAATAAAGTTTAATTTCTATTTTCATGGAAGAATATGCTATGTAACATTCAAAAGAATGTTTAAGGTAATGAGTTTTAAGCATTTTGCTCAAGAGTAATAAAGAAGAAAGAAGTCAGCTCTTTGGGGCTCTATGGCAGGATCTCAGGAGCAGGACAAACCCAGTGGTTCCCCTCTTTCTCAACAGAAAGGGGCAAAGGGGAGCACAACTGTCACCCACCTCCCACCACTGAGGCCTGCATGCCTGGGGTCTAGGCCACCTGAGAGGCTACACAGGCCGGCACTTCCCAAAGTGCCCAATCTTGAGTATCAGACTGGCTCCAACAACCAGACCGTGGATTCTATTCTTCAAAACAGTGGTCTCCAACTTACTTACTTAGAAAGCAAAATAACAAGGAAACCTCACTCTCCTTAACTGAAACATCAAAGATTCTGCTGTCTCATTTGAAAGGCAGAAATGGATCCACTTTGGGACTGGCTTTAGAGAATGCTTCTTTACACTTCTTAGGACTGAAAGGACAACCTAAGCATGTGGTCCTTCGTCGGCGGGGCCAATACTGAGTTTCCTTCCCACTTCCATGATTATTAGCAGATGTGTCATGAATCACTCCTCAGAAAGTACCCTGCCGCAAACCCATGGGTGACCACCAGAGGGGGCAATGTACCAGAATGAAAGTCAGAAGTTCCTAAGGAGGAAGCATTCATTGTTTGGGGAACTCTCCTTCCAACCAAGACCTTCCTGTCTGAAGCCAGTGGGTGGATCCCACTTCTACCTCAAAAAGCTCCCCTCGCTTCCTAGCCAGGAGCTAAGCCTTCCCAGATCCCAACTTGGCTGAACACAGTACCCTGTACAGTCTCTGTGCTGCTGATAATGGAATGTAGGGGCTCCTCCTTCTGGTCCTCAGCAGCTTGCGAGCTGAATGGATGTCCAACGTGGAAGCTCGAAGCCAAGTTTCGCTTGGGGCAACTGGACTGGACTGGGGCCCTCCAAGGATAGAGGACTGGTTTTCCTGAAAAGACAAACATGCACAAAGAAGGAGAATTAATAAGCCTTCAGGCACAGGTAACCTAATGTGTTCACAAACATATTTTGGTAACATATCCTCACACATGTCAAGTACCAGTATCAGAACTTGGGGGCAGGCAGGGGCCATTTGGCACCACTTCCCACATACGTTCCCCAGTGAGATCTTGTATAAAACCCCCAAACTCAAACATCCCTCATCCCTCAATGCTCACAGTCCCCACAGGAGCCTGAATAACGACAGGCCATCCTTCCTTACTTTGTAACTGCAATGGAAAAATGAAGAAAACATGTCCCCTTGAGAGGAATCCAAATTTTTAAATGTTAATATTCTGAAACAGTCTCATCTTCAAAAGAATCTTTGTTGATTCCTTTTCTTTTTTGTCCAAAACAGTTTAAATTAGTGTATTTAAAAACTGAAAAGTAGCGAGGAATCTCTTCTACCTATAACCAGGAAGGGACCTCACACTGTCTCTTGAATTTGTTTTCTGTAACCTGCTCAGCACCGTGGACCTAGGAACCACTGCAAGGGAAGATGGGAAACCCATCATTTGACACTGCTGTCCACAGTCTGACTAGTAAATGCATCCTCCGCCTTCAAATGCTACAAACACATGTGGACACCTCCACCATACCTGGCAAGAATCAGTCCTTACTAGCAGCCCCTCAGGACAGTGTCACACACCGACTCCAGGACCACCAGCCTGGGGACTGGCATCAGTCAGTTTGTGTTTCATGGCCAATGTTTTGAAGGATACAGGTCTGACACGCAAGACCCTTGTGTGAAAGTCTAGACCTTACTGAACTGTGCCTGACGGGTATGTACTATACATGTGGGATGGACAGAAAGGAGTGATTCAGAATATCCAGAATAACCTGATGGTTTAAAAATCAACATATTGACTTCCACATGCCTACAAAGGTATAAAAACTTGACTTTTCTTTAGTTTATTCCTGGATTTATAAATAACGTGGCCTTAGCTGTTACCTCTATGCAGAATACCTTAAAAACATCTATCCCAACTCAAAAAATATTCAATTTCAGAGCATTCTAAATATTTAATCCTCTGTACTTAATCCTAGTTTTCACTAAAAAAAAGGAACCAAAAAGCAAAACAAAACAAAAACCCCGGGGAGTTTCTTCCTTCTGGAATTAAATATTTGGTTAGAGGGTTGCTCTGCACCAGGCCAGGGTACTGAAGTCCCTGAGCTCCCCCCACCAGGGACAGTGCTCTCATGGACACATTTGGAGACATAAGCAGGTTTCCCACCAAAGGTGGGAGCCCTCTGCCTTAAAGCACAGTTGGAATTTAGGGATGAAACCAGTGAGTGAGATAAAGGAGAGATATTTGAGGGACATCAGACTCAAGTTCACCTCGGGACAGGATCTGGATCTGAATTCTACATGAAACACTGTGACTCCAGACAAACTAGCAGGAGTGTAAGTGTCGGAGCCACTAAAATGAGGAGGTAGAGGTGGTCCTCCAGAAGAGAAGAGCAGAAAGCTCAGTGATCACAGACTGGTGGGGTTCTTGACTATGTCTCCATGTGAGCAGCCTCTGCAAACACTGAAAGCATTTTAGACATTCTTTCTTCTAATATTCATTCCTCTTACCATCTTCCACCCATCGACCACTCCCTTCTACCTGGCCACAGGGAAGGGCAGAGGTGCAGTCTTCCGGAGTCTTCTAGCAATGACATGCAGGTAGCACTGACCATGGTCCCTGCTCCACCTCCAGCCACGTGGGCCTCCCCTGTCCAGTCCCTTGTCCCTGCATACCTTTGAGCTGGTCTCCTACAATAATGTTCTCTCCAATCCATCTCTTCAATTTCTACAAACTCACCTTCTGACACCAAATCCATCTTATTTCCCCAGTTTTGGAGGATGTATTCCTGAATGCAACCTTGTCAACTCTAAATGCTTTGGGCTGGTATTCCAGGCCCTCCACCAAACCACCCCACAAACCAACAGAATCCTAACTCCTTCCAGAAGCCCCAGTCCAGGATGCTGACATCCTTCATGCTCCTTGTGCCCCTACCAGTATGGTAACCAACAGTTACCCTTCTCTCCCTATCAAGCTCTAGGTCTTGGCACATAGGGAGCGCTTCATAAATTCCTGTTCACATGCCCCAAAAACATTAGATAACACATCACACCCTCAAGAAGAGATGCTGTTTTTCCTCACTGCTGAATACGTTTAAAGTATTCCTGATTCATTCCATTTGCATAAAAGCAGAATTTACGGAATTAATCATTTTTTGTTTTGTTAATCCTCACCTGAGGATAATTTTTCCATTGATTTTTAAAGAGAGTGGAAGAGAGGGAGGGAGGGGGAGAGTGAGACAGAGAGAGAGAGAGACATCGATGTGGGAGAGAAATATCCATTGGCTGCCTCCATCACATGCCCGACCAGGCCCAGGATAGAACCTGCAACCCAGGTGCATGCCCTTGACTGGGGACTGGACCTTCAACCCTTTGGTGCATGGGCCGACGCTCCAACAACTAAGCAACACTGGCCGGGGCAATCTTGTTGTTTTCCAATCCTCACCCGAGGTCATGCCTGGGGGGGGGGACGGGGGACGGGACACAACATTGATTGTTTGCCTTCTGTATGTGCCCCAGCCGGGGACCAAATCCAGGTATGTAACCTGACCAGAAATAGAACTGACAACTTTTCAGTGCACAGGATGACCCTCAACCGAGTCACTCCTGCTGAGCTTAATCATTTATCTTCACTTCCTGTCCCACCTTGCTCTGCTAACAGAGTCCTTTCCTTGACATCCGTCTTTTGGTCCTCAGAAAAGAACAAGTTGCATTCCCCCACTGCCTCTCAGCTAAAACCATCCCTACCCCTAAGGAAATCAGAAATTATAGGAAATAGAAAAATTCAGAGGCTAATGGCTCTTAGAATTTTGAGACCCCCATAAACTACTTGTTCTAAATCTGTCCCCAGATTGTGGGGGGAGTAATAGCTTTTTGATTTATGGCTGGCATACTTTTCTTTTTTCCAGTCTTGCATGTATGAATATTTTAATCAAGAACACATCTTAGAGCGTGGCCAGCATGGCTCAGCAAATAAGCATCAACGTAGGATCCAGGAGATTGTGGTTCGATTCCCGGTCAGGGCACATGCCTGGGTTGCAGGCTCAATTCCCAGTAGAGGGTGTGCAGGGGGCAGCCGATCAATGACTCTCTCATCATCGATGTTTCTACCTCTCTCTCCCTTCCTCTCTCTGAAATCAATGAAGATATATTTTTTAAAAAACAAACAAACATATTTTAGAGATCATTCCAAATCAGTACAGAAAGCTGCTTGTTCTTTTTAACAAACACAAAATATTCCACTATAATGGATAAGTATTCAACTAGTGCTGAATTTATGAATGTTTAAACTGCTTCCAGTCTTGCACTGTTAAAAATAATGCTCCAGCCAGGCTGGGGTGTCTCAGTAGTTGAGTAGTTGACCAATGAACCAGGTCATGGTTTGATTTGGGGCTCATGCCTAGGTTTCAGGCTTGATCCCCAGCAGGAGGCGTGCGGGAGGCAGCCGATCAATGACTCTCATCATTGATGTTTCTCTCTCTCTCTCTCCCTTTCCCTCCCTCTCTCTGAAATCAATAAAAACGTATTTCAAAAACAAAAACAAAAATAATGCTCCAATGTGCTAAAGTGTTATCTACTGCATGCTACCCTTCGTGGAAGAAAGACAGGACTACAGGAAAATATCTATGTTTCCACTCATCTGTGCAAAAGAAACACAGGAAGGATACACTAGAAAATAATGAGATCACATGCATGCATTTCCTAGGGCTGCTGTAACCAACTTTCACAAACTGGGTAGATGAAAAAAACAGAAATTTATTCTCTCACAGTTGTGGGGGCTAGAAAGCCGAAATAAAGGTTTTGGCAGGGCTGATTCCTTCTGGAAGCTCTGAAGTAGAGTTTGTCCACACTTCTCCCCCAAGCTTCTGGTGTTGTCCACAATCCTTGGTGCTCCTGGCTTGTAGGTGCCTCACTACAATCTCTGCCTCTGTCATCACACAGCCTTCTCTTCCCTGTGTGCACATCCTGTGTCTAAATTTATCTCTTCTTATAAGGACACCAGTTATACTGGATTTGGGGTTCACTCTAACACAATATAATGTCATCTTAACTTACTACATCTACAAAGACGTCATTTCCAAATAAGGTCACATCTACAGGTTCTGGGAGTTAGGACTTGGACATATCCTTTTGGGGCACACAATTCAAACCATAAGAAATTGGTTGCCTACAAGGTGTGTGTTAGCTGCCTAGAAAAGGTGTGTGTGTTAGTTTCAAAGTACCACAGATTTGGCAGCTTAAACAATAGAAACCTATCATCTCCCAGTTCTGGAGGCTAGAAGTCCAAAATCAAAGTGTCAGCAGGGCTGGTTCCTTCAAGGCTGTGAGGGAGAATCTGTCCAGGCCGCTCTTCCTGCTCAGGTGCTCCTTGGCTTGCGGATGGGTCATCTTCTCCCGATGTCTTCACATAGTTTCCCCTTTGTTTATGTCTGTCTGGTCCAAATTCCCTGTTTTTATAGGACACAGCCACAATGGACTGAGGTCCACCCTAATGACCTCTTCTTAACTTGATCATATGCAAAGACCCTATTTCCAAATAAGGTCAAATTCACAGGTGCTGGGGTTACGATTTCAGGATTTTTGTTTTTGACGGGCTCACAAATGAACTCATAACTGGTGTGTGGGAATAGAATGGAAAGAATAAGTAATTAAAAACAAAGTAGGAGAGCTGAGAGGAACGCGACATTTCTGAGGATACCCTTTGAGGATCTCTGACTCTTAAAAACCACGGTAATATTTCACATACACAAAAAGTAAATAATTAAGAGCAACCAGGATTTGCGTGGAACAGCAAATGAAATACAAACAGTAACAAACGTTCAAAGCTACATCACAAACAACCTAACCACACAGGAAGAAGACAAGAATTATCAACCTAAGGA